AGACGTTTCTTCGACCTGCCGCTGAACAAAGCATACAAAGCCAGCGGACTTGGTAATGGCGCAGGCGAATCACGGAGGAATTCCTTGAGAAGAGGATCCATTGCCGAAGAGACTGTGGCCAGGCTTCTGCGCCGCAGTGTGGCTTGCCAGCAGTGTGATCGTGCTGAAAATGTGGTCCGTGGTACCAGCAGGACCAAGCCGTGGTGTTTCGGATGCATCCCTCCCTCCTGCCTACTTCCGGATGCTGCAGGGCGCGAAGTTAGCGCGAAGCGTGGAGTCGCTCAGGCTTTCAACAACGCGGATTTGAAGGATCAGTTCGAGCTGAAGGAGATCTTAGATCCGCCGGTGATTCTGGCACGTTTCCTGTACTACTACTGTACATTACGGTACTACTGTACTATTACCCTAAACCCTAAACCCTAAACCCTAAGTATTACTGTACCACTACTGTACTACTTCCGTGCCTACGCTAACAAGCCTTGAACTGCGGAAGAGGCCCCCGCCGAGATGTACACCCGCTTCAAGGCCTTGGAGCAGCTCCATACTTCCTGAAAATAGGATATTATATAATGTTATGTTATATGATAATATATGATTCTGTATTATGTTATATAAGACGATGTATTATGTTATACCCTCCAGCCTTGCGCAGAGCATCGCAAGCAGCACAACCTGGATGATGCATTTTCACTGGCTAAGCATCGCGACTTCAAGAAGCCCTCAACTGCAACATCGAATCTTGAGCCTTGAAGTCAAGACAGGCTGACTTTCGACTCTTACGCGAGATGCTGCAACTTTAAAGCTGACAGCAAGGTTGTTGCCGTTCCTACACGCGCACGCATCATGACATGTCATGGCGTTCACGTGGTGGCTTGTTGCCAAGATATGGGCACAAAGGCTTTTGATGTCTCCGCAGGTGGAGGACATCTCCAGCTTTCCAGCTTCTGAGCAGGACGGCAGTCAAGGGGCCATGTCACACAGCAGACCGGCATTGTGCTGCTGTATAGAGCCGCTTTCACGTGATGTCCTGGAATGAGGAGCGAATCCGGGAGGCCTTCTATCGCTTCAAGAGTATTGGTAGTCCCTAAGCTGCATCTGGAAACAGACGGATGATCGAGTGCAAGGGTTGTCTCCCTGCTGGTTGGGGTCCTCGAGCTTCGAATTTCGGAGCCGCTCAGGTTCGGACATTGATGCGGGGCTCTCAGTCTTCCACTTCTCGGGGCAGCCCGGTAATTCTTCAAAAGGAGACGCTGGCATGCTATGGTCTGGGGCTGTTCTTTGGTGAAAGCATTGGCTTCCCACCACGTCGTTACGGGGCCGTCGATCGCGCTCCTACCACTTTCTTGCGACCTGCGTGTAACGCAGACATGAACACATTCCATGTCGGCAGCAACCTTTCTTGATCTCTGCACGTCCATCGACGGCTTCTGCAACTTTGGTGGTCATTTCGACATCGGTCGAATAAGTCGATGGTTGATGTCACAGTTTGAGGATCGCATGTCGTGTCTGCGATCGACTCTTCGCGCATTGTCTCGTATCCTGCTTGCTTATGCCGGACAGCCGAGGTCGATGACCTTGAAAAGACATTGATTCATCTGGGTTACCTCAAAATTGATGCCCAGGCCAGAGTGCTTCGACACTGTAGCCGAGCTTTAGCCACGGTGCCGTAGCGTGCGCGTTTCCTCCTGCGTCTGAACCGCCGGCCACCTGTGTCGATCAAACTGGCGTAGGCAGTGCTCCCACGACCTCCCACGAGGAGACATGCATGCCAGACGAAACATCCAAGAATCTCATTGACCCTAGCTGCATCTGCATGACCTGAAAGACCTACCCACTAAAGGCTGCAACCAGCGACTTTAGTCATGTCGACACGTTGGAAGCGTTTACCATGCGTGGTGCCAAAGGGTTAACCTTGTATGGCTTTGTAGTCGAAGCCGATTTCCGACAGACTCGAGACATCCATGAGCCCTTGCAATAGCATCATGTCGGAGCTAAGAACATAGGAATGGATCGGTAACAGCCTATGGACTGTGACCCGCATGGCGGCGTTCGACCGGGTACTGCTTTCCCTTTTCAGCATCTGAGCTGAAGGAATTTCGTTTCAGAAGACCTCTTGCACAGGGACCTAGCTGCCGTGTCAGCCGAGGTGGCGGTGGGTTGTGTGGCTGCTGCAAGCCAGAGACGTCAAACTCAGTGGCCATGGACCGTTGGGGTTCCGTGGTGTTGCGCGACGGTGTCATGCTGATGTCGTGCTGCCTTTGAAGTGGACATGGTCTTGGGCTACGTGTCGTGTGGGTATGATGTGCCAGGACATTCTGCAGCTCAAATCCTACCAAGACGAGTGGGATCGGACTCAACGCGCCATAGAACTGGCCAAGCGCGAGCAGGTAGCCAAGGAGGCTGGGTTCCATTCAGCCAAGAAGGGAAGCGGACAGAGTCTAAGTCTAAGGTTCAGGCCCTAGGTTCCTCTGAAGGCCCTCCTGCTTTTGGCCCTGTGTACCAGGCTGAAATCCGTCAAAAGGCGGCGAGCCGCGCCGCGGAGCTCCTAGCTGAGCGAGGTGACCTGGAGGCGCAGGGCAACAATTTGTAAAAGTGGCAGGAAGAGGTTTCTGCAAAACTGTAGGAGAAGGAGCAAAGCCGTGCTAGATGCTACTTGCGAGTAGAGAACGCTGGCAGCAAGTGGAACAAAGAAAGGAGCAAGCACAACGAAGGCAATGGTCGTACGAGTAGCCGTTGTAGTCGTAGCTGCAGTGGCTCTAGTTATGGCAGCAGCAAGTGCATGATGGTGGTCATGATGATGGTGATGAAGATGGTGTTGGCGGTGCTGGTTTGATGATGGGATGATGCTGATGATGTTGATATACTTGTACCATCATGTAACAATTACAACCGTGACGTTGTCCGGAGCCATCTGTTCGAGATGTAGGGCGGAGTCCTGCACAGACTCTGCGCGCTATTCTGCCAGGAAGTCAAGTCAGAGCCCGTCATTACGATGAATTTGTTCGGGCCTGACGTGTCTTCGCTTTCTGTCCCATGGGCCTGGGAAATATTCTTCATGCCACTTCACCATCTTTCTTTCTCCATGCTCAGGTAGTTGCACCCGGCAAAGTGACTGGAGTGAACCTTAGCAGTGCCGCAATCAGCGCAACGCGGCTGAAAGTCTTCGAACTGGAGGCTGCGCTGTGTCCGCAGAATGGATTAATGGAATTGTACCCAGATAATTAGCTGGAGTGCAGCACGCCTGCTGACAGCTTTGTGTCGTCGTGTCGTTGCGTAGAGCTATCGGTTTCAAGGCTTGTATCGGCATTCTGCAGAAACGTCTCCGATTTTTCTATCACGCTAGGAAGGCTTCCTTGTAGTGGCCGCAGAACCATCTTTGGCACCGGTCTTGCGAGGGCAGTCTGTTACATGGCTGCTGTTCAGCGGATGCTTGCAAGCTGTTGTTTGGGGTTGCGCAGCAGTTATCCATGTGGTGCCAACTTCGAAGGTTTCACCCTTAAGCGAATGCAGCTTACAGCCAACCTGCCAGTCGTATTCCAAGAGTCCTAGAGCCTCATCACATGGCAATGATCCCTGTGTATCCAGCAAGGTTCTTACGTACAAGGTCGGTGGGCCCTTCGCTTCAGCGAACTAGCTGCTATGCAAATGCACCGGAATCATTCCTAGCTTGCGCTAGGCAAGTCTCACCCTTTTGAGGCTGACAAGTTTGGCCGTCCGCGACATGTGATAGATTGGCAGGGTACTTCAACTTGATGTTTCAGAGATCCCAGCGATTTCCTTCGTGTGTGTATGAGGTTGTTTTTCCCTGGTAGGTGCGAGAGGTCCGTGCTTGGAATGCAGATAAAAGTGCTTCATGGCTGAGTCTGGAAGCTCCACCACAGCCTCAAGGTCGTGCCGTGTCATGCACAACTGGCGCAGGTCATCATGGAAATCACCCAGAAGCTGACAAAGTTTGCTACCCTCGACTACGAGGTTCAATCAAGGGCCTGCTTCTAGGATGCCCCCAGTCCGAGGGAGCCTCGCACGCATGGAGATGTCTACTATCCAGTGGAAGAGGAGTACCTCCGCTTCGTGGGACAGTATACATCCTTTGAGCGGGCCGAGGCGACAAGATTTCCTTCCAAAGACGATGCGATGAAAGAGTGTCTTCACGCCTGTTCAGGTTCAGCGAGTTTTCCGAGAGTTTGACGAAGATGGATCGGGGTCTTTGGATACAGAAGAGATCGAGGCTCCGGTCCTTCTTTTCTGATTTCTCTAGGATCGACAGGCCCTCCACGAGTTGCGCGATGTCAGAAATGAATCGTGCAGGGTGTCATGCGCTCCTTCAGCATCACGCCCTTCAAAGCCACGGTGGTCGTGAGCTCGGATGCACCGAAGCGAGCATGCTTACCTTCAGCGACTCCTCGTTATTTATCTGCATACTCCAGGAAGCTGCCATCGCTGTTGTCGACGAGGTGTCCGGTGTGCAACTGCTCTCCTATCTGGCCTTTCGGCGTGAAGCTGAAGCTTCCAGGACCACACTGGCACAGTTGAATTCCACGAGTTCGTCCATCTGCTGACGGCCGGACCCTCAATGGCTTTCCGCTGCGCAGGTGAAGGCGGCCGAGATGGTGAGCCGGTGAACTTGGGCCGAGCCGATTATTGAGGTCTACAAGAAGACAGAGGGCTTCTCACAAGCAGAGGCAGGCAAAGAAGCAGCCTTGCACAGGGAGCATGCTGCCGACCGTCATCGCTCGGATGTTAAAGGTCAAAGATCTTTATGCCGTCTTCTACAAATTCGCCGTCCCCGTCTCGGACTCCAAGCTCCGCGAGGCGAGGCTTTGGAGTCCATTGCTTCATTGCTGCCTTCGGCTGGGCCCGTCTCGTGCAGCCTTCTTCTTCTTCTTTCTAGCTTGCGCGGATGGATTTCGGAAGGTGCCGGAATCCGAGATGCGGAACGCCCTGATGAACTTGCTCGGCACTTGAGATCCCCGCAGCGCGACATGCGTGAAAAGCGGCAGAGTAGGCAATTCAGACTGCGCAGAGATGCGTGTTGGCCTTCTTTTGCGTGGATCTCGCGTGAGGTTTGGCCCCCAGACGCTTAGCGTGGGAGTGAAGCTGGTGAACGAGGACCCCACTATACCCTGCCACCTGATTGACACGCGTTTGGAGAGGAGATGCAAGTGTCGCTGCAGTGTAGCTGCTGATAGCCGGTACAGTCGAGGATGTGAGTTTCCAATCACGGCTTCTGCTGTTTGATTTTGTGTGCGTCAATCTGTGCATTCTCAGAAGAATCTGTCTGCAGTCAGACACGTCTTGCACGGGCAGGTCTTGGTGAAGATACAAAAGAAGAAAGAAGAAAAGGCATGCTGAGCAGAGTCGGAGCTTGCGTCCGCAGTTGAGTCTGTCGCCTAGGTACAGTAGAGTCCAGTGAAAGACTCGCACATGGCAGGCAGCCAAGCGAGCTCTGTCTCGTCAGCAGGGAGGTCCAGAGCAACTCAGACAAATTAAGTCAGAAACTTCGATGACCATATTAATAATACTGTAACAAAAATAGCAATAATAGCATATAACACCAATAACGACGATAATAACACCAGTGATAGCAATAACAATACGAGTAGTAGCAGTATTCATAACCACAGCAGCAACAGCAACAGCAACAGCAACAGCAACAGCAACAGCAACAACAAAAACCAAAATAATAACAGTAACAGTAGCAATACTAGTAACTAGTAATAATCGTAGCAATAATGGGAAGAACCAGAATGGTAATCATAATACTAATAATACTAATATGAGTAATAGCAATAATGATAGTAATAATCATAACCCTCATGAAGGCGGAGCATCTTCTGCCAGTGCACCGAGGCAGGGGATGAAGTTCCGTGAGTTCTTGGAGCTGCCCCCAGTTGCACTCAGCTGGGGCCGGGGGTAACATCTCAGAGCCGATGCAATTTCCATTTTTTTGTCGCTGTTGTTATGAGTTGTTGTTATTATTAGTATTACTATTTTGATTATGATCATTACTATTGATATTACTAGTACCGCTACTATTAGACTATCATTGCTACTATTATTACTATTACTATGGTTGTTGCTGCTGCTGCTGCTGCTGCTGCTGTTATTAATACTATTATTCTTGTTGTTGTGATGACTATTGTTGAAATTTTCTGCTTAATCTGATCATCTTGCTATTTGCTGCTGTTGCGGCCGCGGTAATTACCATACTATTGTTATTATTGTTGTGATCATGGCTATTGTTGTTGTTTTCTTCCTAATATGGTTATGCTGCTATTTTCATTCTGATCATCATTAATACTATTACACTTGTTGTATTATTGTGTTATCACTATGATCACTAAGATTTTCGTCTTCTAACATGAATAGATTTCTATTATTTTCAGTCTGATTATTTTTCTTTTTCTTCTTAGCAGTCGTGTTGTTATTGTTATTGCTGATGAGGTGTGGGCGAGATGTCTCAGAGAGGCTGAGATCACCGCGTGCCACGGTTTGTGGGACAGCTATCCCGAAGCGGTGCCTCAGTCCGGAGCTTTTCTCAGGTACAGACGCAAGTTCGACAAGGTAGACTATACAAAGTCAGGCGGCAGAACTGCTGGAATCTGCTGTCCTGGTACTTTAGATGTCCTGTTTCTTAGGTTCCCAATGCTTGCTCCTGGCAGGCCTCCTGATGCAGGACAACCTGAAAGCCAGCATCCAAGTTCCGTTGGTGAGTTAGTGGGCTCACAGCTATAGCAAGGTGGTTGCCCAACGAAGACTATTCAGGATCCATCCAGTGAGAATCGTCCCTGTGGTTGGGTGGGCCGGTAGGTCGGTTTTTCGTAGGCGCCGTTTTCCGGCATGTGCTTGTGGTGTTCCTCTGCCCGACCAGGCTGTGAGACACGGTTTCGTGTCCAGGTGTGAATTTTCAAAGTTCCTTTCTTGATGCAATTCTGCCCATGCAAGATGGCCGGTGAGGCTCGCCAACAAATGCCAACAATCCGGGTCACTGTCCGCATCATTATTCGAAAGCACTGTTGTAGTGGCTTTTTGTCGCACAACCCAAGCTGAGCTCGCTCGTGCATATGTCGTCGCATCATCGATCGTCGTGCTTCGTGCTGGTGTTGCCGTGTAGCTTTCATGTTGCACGATCGCTTTTCCGCCAAGGAGGCTCTTCATCACATTGGCTACACTGCCCTGCACGGCTCCCGGGGAGCTCACTCCAGTTCGGAATACAGGAGTCTATCTGAGCCATTCCGGTCCCGACTCCCGATGTCAGAGTCAGACTGCGCAAGCTTTCAGCGGAAGACCCGGAATCCTCTGGAGGCGGCCAGAGGTAGAGGACCTCCTGGAGCGCCGAAAGGTGTCCAAGGACCGTTTTTAGTGCCACCCTCATGGAGTAGACGACAGCAATGGGGCGGCGTGTCTTGAGAAGAAGTCTGCATGTTCAGAGGGTTGCATGAAGATGTGCAGCATCTTGAAGCGCCTCACGTCAAAGGACGGTGTGCAGGTTCATGCAATACCATATCCGAAACACAACTGCGATGGAACGCTACTCCACGATGTTGCATTTCCCCGTACAAGGACGGCCTAAATGCAAGTTTATGCAACCCGTGATGGCCGTGAGGCATGTAGCTGAGTGCTACCTCAACTCGACACGACATCATGCGACTGAGACTGCTCTGCTGCTGCTGCTGCTGCTGCTGCTGCTGCTGCTGCTGCTGCTGCTGCTGCCTTTGAAGGCTCACATCTCGACTGCTGCGCAGGACGACATGATCGATTTCGAATGCTTCGTCAATCTGGTTCAAGATTTCTGCCGCACAGACTCTTGGCATGTGCAGGAAAGGTCATCTAGATGCAGTCATCTTGGAACGTTACAAGCCGCATCGGATGCATCGACACAAGCCAAGGATGGGTTCAGCCGGCGCGATGTCGTGAACACCTCAGTGCATTGAGATATAAACGAAGAATTCAAGCCGGACCGATGTAGCGACAAGCGCAGAGACCGAGGACGAGTTTTTTGAGGTGTTCCGTGCTTTCGACGCCGAAGGTGCCTGACCCAGGCAAAATACCAATGTCTTCCGGGCACACTCCGGCCAAATAGCCCTTTGTCATAGCTGCCAAGCTGGGGCGGCGTGTTTGGAACTAAGGCTCGGGCGAAGTTGGCGTCTTGGAGGTCGCCTCCATGCTGCGCTGGCTGGGCTTCAGCATAGAGCCCGCCCCCCAGCGGAATCAGAGCAGGTTTTTTTGGGTATGAGACGTTGTCGTGGCGTGCCTTGGTTGTCTGAGCGTGCAAGGTTGGACGTGGCCAACAGCTACTTCCAGGTGCCAGGGCTTTCCGAAGAAGCTCGCTGCAAAGAATGTCCGAGCACCAACATTTCGGAACTGGCTGCGATGTTCCATGTCACCTCTTTGTAGGTGTTTCTGTGCCTTCATATCGGACTTGAAGATAACTGCCAGTCCGTGAACTTGGATGGTGCAGACCGGATGGGCTTTGCGGAGTCTGCGGCTCAGATTTTTTTGTGCTTGGGTCTGACGGACTTCCGGCTTTTCGGCGGGTGTGGGCGTCAGCTTAAGGGGCTGCGGGCTGCAGGAGGAGGGTTTGATCTGTGAGATGCAGTGCGCATTTGAGCTTTGAACTCGCCCTTACCACGGAAGTCTCGTGCCGCGGGCTTTGCAGGGCACAATACTCGTAGGGAGGTGCTACAGATCGTTTGCAGCAATGGTGCGACAGATGCGTATTCGTGCTTCGACGATTCGTGATTCGAACTCTTTGCATGTGCACGCATGTCTTTGCACACCGTCGCAGAGGGGTCTGCAGAAGCATCGGACAGAGGTGCCATCGCAAGCTGTAGCTGAAGGGTCATTTGTTGTCGCTCAAGCTTACGGTAGCACTTAAAAAGCTGATCTACATGTCGCTGGTCTGTGTCAAGACCAGCGAATGCAGCGGCTATGCATGTCTTCTGCAGCTTTGTCTGCCCTCCTGCCTGCTCACAGCCGGAACCTCCCTCCCAGTCGATAGCCACAGGTTTCTACGTCTGATGCGGCCGGAGACCCAATTGCATCCTTTGCTCTTCTTCCGAGCGTATCTTCTCTCGCCGCCCTCAGGTTGCACCGCGATGATTGCCTCGGCCACATGCAGGAGGCGCTTGAGTTGTGTGTGTCCAATGTGGCTCTGCTTCAGAGCTGCAGCCTGGAGAGCAGGTCTTCGACCGCAACTGCGAGCAGGAACTGGTGCTGAAGCAGGACTGTTTGAAGCCAGAAGCTGAAAATGCCCGAGTGAGGGTTACCTACATGATTATGGCCCCAAAACCCTATTCTAATTATTGAGGCCCCTACAGGAGTGAGCTGTATCGGACATAAAACCCTAAACCCTAAGCCCTAAACCCTAAACCAGCAAGAGCTCTGCTAAGGCAGGTGCTAACGCAAATGGATCGGCGCGTCAGCGTCAACGTGATAAGCCAATGCTTGCAAGGCCAGGTGGGCAAATCTCGGGAATCCGCGAGATGCTGAAACATAGGCTTATATGTTGTAGTACATAAATACATGCCAGTCTATTGTGCCATATGGGCCGTTTCACTCATATGGGTCGTTTCACTCATGTGAGGCCCCGTGTCCGGAACTTGCTGCTAGTAGTACCATTGCTGTTCTTTCTTGCCACCAATGCACTTGTCGTTGTGGTCAGCATGAAACCATCATCATCATCATCATCATCATCATCATCGACATCACCACCAGCAGCATCATCATCATCATCATCATCATTATCACCATCGTTTAACGAATCACTAGTCTCGGAATGTGTGACGAGGCGTCAGGGACGCGCGTTACATCGATTTCGTGCAGAGCTGAGAGACTCTGTGCTCTTATCAACCACAATCCAGTTGTAGGCTTAAGAACATGTAACAATCTTCCGGCTGCGGCCCAGGATGACTTCGTGCAGGTGACTGACAATATGCGGCGGCATATCCTGAACCAGATGCGGAAGCAGGCTGTGCACTCACTCTGTGGTTCTGCTACGACGTGCTTCCTACAAGCATCCCTTGTAGACCATGCCTGCATGTCCAGGCGGGCTTCACGGATGACGAGGCCTGGCTAACAGATCCCCAACCTAGTAACATAGTAGGTAAGCCTGTCCAGCTTCATGTCACTGTCTTGCTATTGAACATGGTGGCTCGTAAAGAAGGTGCGAACCTTCCAGCAGGCCTTCGAGAAGTGGGGCGCCAAGCAACGGCTTGGCGCAGCTCCGTGCAGGGGCTGGCATTGAGGAATGGCTTGGAGACCATGGCGGCTTTTCCACTATACTTCCCCCCATCATGTGTAGACTGTCAATGGCTTCGTCGGCGTCTTTCCCCAGAGAGATGGGATCGGTTGCAAATGCGCACAGAAGGATCGCAGCAGAAAAGTGCAGGGTGAGACTGCTGCGGACACGGTGAGCCGTTTTTTCTTTCCCTTAGGGAGAAAGGGTGATTCAAGCACTGGTCACGATTCGAGCACCAGAACGCCCGGTTCGAGCACCAAGTTCAAGGCTCCGGGGCTTTTGGGCTTTCGAGTTGTAGGTTCAGGGTTTAGGCTTTCCGGATTGTTGGTTCAGGGTTTAGGGTTGTCGTTGCGTGGATGGTCGGCAAATCCCCAAGTATCAAGAACCATGGCGGAAAGTTAGGACGCGCGAGTCGGGAAACAAGGACAGCAGCCGGGAAACAGAGACGGTCGAGACAGGAACAGGAACGGCCGGAGTCGAACACAGGTCGGAGTTGGGCTGGGCTATGCTGGGCGTAGACCAGTTTGGGGTCGGCCCAGGGCTTGGAGTCAAGGCAGGCTAGCGGGGAACGCTACCCGAATCCACAACGTGCGGGAATCCACGGTGCACGAATCGTGTCGGCTTGCGAATCTGCCCCGTCAGGGCGCGAATCCATGGTGATCGGATCCGGCGCGTTCAATGCTCGAATCTCCAGCGCGAACCCCCCGCTCCAGCGTGCGAATCGTCCGTGGTCCGTGTGCGAAACTTCACCCCAGTGCACATCTTCCAAAGCACGAGTCATTTTTTCAGGAATCGTTGTTGTTTGTTCCGTTCTCAAATCGGTCCGTCACCTAAGCATGCCGAGGTATGATACCGATGGAAATCGGAAGCTGACGCGGGACGAAATGCCACCTCTTCTGGCCGATTTGAAGATTGATCTTCGCACAGCCTTGGACTCAGAGCCTGCTTGCCGTCCCAGGGCACAAAGCTGTTTTTGTTGCTGTCGCCAGCAAAACAAGGTGGACGATCAGAGGCACTTCGTTCGCCCTTCTCTCAGCATGGTACTGAAAGTGTCGTCCACGACGTACTTAGCAGCAGTAGTACTCGTCGTCCTCGTTGTCGTCGCGTCGTAGTAGGGTAGTAGTAGTAGTAGTAGTAGTAGTAGTAGTAGTAGTAGTAGTAGCAGTAGCAGCAGCAGCAGCAGCAGCAGCAGCAGCAGCAGCAGCAGCAGCAGCAGTGATTATGGTTGTGGTTCCGGGATGTCATGCGTCTCAGCGCAAGGCGTGCTCGAAGAAGCTCGCCTTTCCGCCCGCCGAGGAGGCGCAAGTGAGGTGCAGCCGACGGGTCGGAATTCGTCCTTAGGGTTTAGGGTTTAGGGTTGACTTGTAAATGCTTCGTGCCGTCGGCCCGGGCTGTGGGAAGACTCCTTTGAAATAGAGGGAGCCTGGGACACGATGCATTTACTGTACATGCCTTGCCAGACTTGGAATGTCCTTGCAAGGACGAGGTGGGGATTCCTGGTGCTCCTGGCATTACCTTCTGGAATTTCGTCTGGCGCCCGGAGAGGACCTGGTTGACTAGCAGGTATGTGGTTGACGGTGTCATCTTCGCGCCCGACTTAGAAGTGTTGCCTAGAAGGTACACTTCCTGCGAGTCCTCCAGACAGAAGAAGACATCAAGACAGCCGCACCGCTCAATTAGCATTGCCCTGTTGTTGTTGCCTTGATCCGGCTAAGCAGATACCAGCCAGCAAGAACCACAACTGCCAGGTACAAAGCCAGGCGGTGTCGCACCTCTTTTCTGAGAAAGAGCAGGATGAGCTTCGTGCTGTTGCAGCCTAAGTGTCGAGGAAAATGGCATGTGAGGGCATACGGTGAACCGGCATTCTCGCATTGTACCCAGGTCTTCAATACGTGGTGCACGCTTTCCGCCGATGTCTTTTCCTGAGTCATGTGGTAAAGCTGATGACAGGTCACACGAATTTTTCCTGTAGTACTGCCAAGCGAACGGAAATGGGTGTTTCCGAAAATAGGGACCCTAATATAGTACCCTAAATAGTAGGATCCCTATTATAAGGATCCTTAGAGAAGGTACCCCCCAATTTTCGGAAACTCCCAAATGGTGTGCAGATTCATGGCAGACCTCTCCTGGGCGATTTGGCAGAGCATCCATAAACCCTAAACCCTAAACCCTAAACCCTAAACCCTAAACCCTAAACCCAGGGCCCCGGCTGCTAAGGCTCAGAACGCAGAGGCGGACTCGGACATCGAGGGCATTGCTGAACCCAGCACGGGCCCGAAGGGCATCCAATATCAATACCAATACTAATATATAATGTTAATACTAATATTAATATTACTAATAATACTAATACTAAGATTAATACTAATATTAATATTAATACTAATATTAATATTAATACTAATATTAATATTAATACTAATACTAATATTAATACTAATACTAATACTAAGATTAATACTAATATTAATATTAATACTAATATTCATATTAATACTACTATTGATATTAAAATTAATAATAATACGAATATTAATACTAATATTAATATTAATACCAAAAAATTGATATTAATATTAATATTAATAAGAGCTTCAGGCTTGGAGAGGAACTCGTCGGAAGTGGTTGTGGCGTCGGCTCACGCCCCAGAGAACTCGCAACCAAGAGGCTTCTGTCGAGGCGGTGGGCTTGCAGAAGTCAGATTAGGGTTTAGGGTTTAGGGAAAGTTTATGGCTGCGGTACTGAGGGGCTGAAGCTCCCCTTCAAGCGTTTGTGGAAGCTCTTGCGCCAGTTCCCCAGAGAGAGGGAAAGATCTACCGCTTTAAAGCTCAGAGACATGGAATGTCTAGTGTCACCTAAGGTGAGCTCGGCGTGCCCCTGACGCCAACTCATGTGAAGCTGCTTAAGGTGGATAGTCCTTTTGCAGCTAGTAGTGTGCTGCCAATTCCAATTGCATTCGACTCCTCTCCCTCTTGCTGTCGCTTTGTTTGTCGACATACATGGACACACCACGGTTTCATGGCTTTGAACACGAACAGTATGCAGTTTTTGGATGCCATGTCCGGCAATGCACATATCTACATGTCAGTGCGCTACCTGTTCATTCTGAGGCCTCAGCTTGTGCAAGGCCGAACCTGGCTCAGTCGAGCTTCGTGAGTTGTCGCCAAATCTAATTCTCCGCAATCCCATACGCATGGGCTCCAAAGTCGCCGGCCGCGCGGTGCTGCTCCTCTTGTGCCTGGTCGTCGGCGACGCGGTTCGCCAAACAAGGCTGCAGAAAGGTGACGTCGTCAGCGCAGCCCAGGAGTATGAGAAGCACGAGCACGAGCAAGCGAGCTACGAACATATCGAGGAAGGGCATGCCGAGGAGGTTGCTGACTCGAAGCTAGAACGGGGCACTGGATGCATCTTCTCAAAAAACGCTGTGCGGAAGGCTGCGACTGTTGGTTCGGGGATTGTCTCTGTGACTGAGCTTTCAGCCATGCTGACACAGCAGTTCATTGCTCTTGGGCAGCTGTACTCGCAATCGCAGCCCACTTGCAAAAAAGAAAAGAGTGGCACCGATTCGCTGGCACCCTCCTCTTGCTGTCGCTTTGTTTGTCGTATGGACATACATGGACATTCCACCATCTCGGTCTCATGGCTCTGAAGACGAACAGTATGCAGGTTGTCGAGCAAAATTCAGTAAGGGTGCATTTGCAGGCCAGAGCAGCACTTGATGCAGAAAACGCTTTGCCTGCCGCATCCTAAGCTTCTTTCAACAAGTGTGACCGGTTCGCAGCGACTGGTGGGTGGGAGTCGCGAAGACTCATGCATCCAATGGCAAGATCGCGGGCTGTGACGGTTAGTTTCATGTCCATGCATGGCTGGCTCTCAGCCACTCTGAGCCGTGCCGTGCATGAAACACACGTCACTCAACTTGCAGGCTGCAACCCTGCGCTGTCCCCAGGTTGAGCAGCGCGGAAGCTACATCGATTCCAGCGGGTTTTTGCGGCTTCTGTCCTGGATGCTGGACCCCGCGTTTGCGACTGCACTGCCTGACTTGGTCTAGAGTCTAGAGCTGTCATAGATCTTTGTTGTACCGATGCGCAGCCGGCAATACAAAGATTTGCATCGGGCCCCGGCGCGGTGTGCTTTCCCCCTGTGTCCCTCTAAACGTCATTGACGCTGGCGCGGACTTGCATAACTGACGAGCTTTCTGAATGCATGCTTCAGGACGCCGACTTCGCCGGCATCCGAGAAAGATCTGAAGAACTAGCAGAGAACCCATATCCTGAAGAAGGGTGACCGAGGCAGGTGCTGCAGTGCGTCTGCGACAGGAATGGCGTTCCTCAGCTCTGTGTTTAGATAGTGTAAGATTGAAAAGTTTTATCCGACACGTCGTCTGGAGAAGAGCAGGGACACCCCTGAACTTGTGTCTGTCATGAAGCAGCTCGACCAAAGGAATGTCGGGCAATCACCTTTGGTACAAAGTGATTGGCAATCAATCTTGGCTTCGTCTCAAGCGTGAGCGGAGTGGGTCCAGGCCTTGTCGTGTGTAGTTCTAAGGGCCCTCGCCTGCTGAGAATTCAATTCGGAGTTCCAGAGAGAGTTGGAACAGGCAGCAAACTCGGATCAGCTGCTTGGCTTGCGAAGCAAGTCCAACTTTGCGCGGCTTGAGTTTGACGACTTCCACTGGCGGACTCGAGCTATCTAGCTTCATGTTGCTACCTCCTAGGTTATCCTAGATAGCGACTTTCAAAAAACTTTCGAGTCTGCATTTGGATGGCTTTTCTTGCCCGACCTCGATCGCAAAGGGACCCCGACGAAAATTGCAGGGCTTCCGGAGCGCCGCATGTATCTGTCTAGAGATCGAAGAACCAGTACCTAGTTAGAATGATCCCTTCATCCTACCCAGAAACTCCGGTGCGCCAATACTACACATGCACCACGGCTGGACAGCAACAGCAAGCCCCACCCTTTTGGGTCGAAAGATGCTGTGGTCCCTGCACTTCATTTGGCTGGGATCGGCGAATCTTCTAGCCGGAGGAGAACTAGATGGAACACTATGGTTGAACAGTCATATCTCTGTCTCGTCGGATGCGATCTGAAGCGAAGCCCAGACTCCATAGGCTTTCCCGATCTGCGAGAGGAACCGGGCAACCAAACCGGGTCGGAGGGAGGTACGGTGCATGGCTCCGGGTCCCAGCGCCGTTTTTGTGTATGTGGGTACAACAAGAAAACATCTTCCGTTGTCTCAGAGTTTGTATTATGATGTGCATCCATCCTTCCGGAGTACCTTTCATGCAGGTAGCCAATTCGAAGATTCGCTCTGCTTTGTTCAATAGCCGAGAGCATCGGAGCCATGGCTGCTGTGGCGAGCCCTCCTCCAGCTCCGAGCGCCAGGTGCGTGTTTCTTGGGGATTTACCGTTTAGGGTTTAGGGTTAGGGTTTAGGGTCAGGGTTTAGGGTTTAGGGTTTAGGGTGGATCTGGGGGTTGTCAGACTTCGAAGAACTGTTGTAGAACACAGGAGGCACACTGTTGTTGCACTGCCTAGCTTACGGGCACGGGGTCTATGTGCGGAGAAGGGAAAGCACTCGAAGATAATTCGTGGCTAGTACCTGGTTCCGACTCGCTACTTTCAGGTTTCATGCTGGTACGGGTGCGGTGTTCAGGGCTTGCTCCAAGCAACCCTGCATGAATGAAGCAAAGACTGTACGCCAAGGCGCAACTACCCACGCGTCAAGGCAGCCGAGCGAGTCAGGCTGAGGCCGGGAAGAGTGGGAGCTGAGGATGCAAACGAAGTTCAGCAGAAGTGCCAAGAGCGTCGCGTCACCGCAAACCGGAGACATGTGCAGGGCCGAAGAGACGGGAAGCAAGGATGAGTTCGAGGCATTCTGCGTCCGAAGCCCAGTTCTAGAAATGCGTTGTGTGTGCCGCAGCTGGAAGGAAAGCTTGCTGTCCAGGCACAGACGATGCCGACGGCGGAGGATGTCAGAGAGGACCTCCAGTTTTGGTGTGTCCGGTGCCTGTGCGGAGATTCGTGGCCCGGGGGTTGCGGCCAGGGAGGCCTCGAAGTGTCGAGTCTAGGAAGAAAGCTTCACGCGTCACACAATTTGTCAAGTTTGGCAACCTTTGAGTCCGTGAGGTTTTTTCTGCCCGAATCTTTCAGTTCATTCCAGTTCTGTTCGACCGGAGATCGGCACGACATGGCTTCACAGTGGCAGATTCCCGTTCTCACCAGATGCGTTGCCAGCATCGAGCCCATGCTACCACCACCAAGCTAGCAATTCAATGTTCGGAAGGATGTGATCGAAAAGCCTCCCGTGGATGCTTTCCGGCACGATGCACAGTACACGGCCGTCTTCTCAGCTGTTGCTTGTTATTGCTGAGCTGCAGAGGGTCGGGCACGAGTTCTCCTGCTCCATGGTGATATCGCCGGACGCAGTCGACCTGTCAGGCCGCGCACATCTCCATCGCGTCCCACCGGCGAGTCATGTGAGAGCCGTCTGAAAGCATGGCAGTTGCCTTTGTGCACCTCGGTGCACCTCGTTCGATGCTGGCCTGCGGCCAGGCCTCCCGACCCGAAGCTGGAGTTGACGGTGCGAGACACCCGGACCAGGCACTCCGCACGGACGAAGCCCTCGGGCCATCTCGGCAGATCTCGGCAGAATGTGGCAGGCCCCTGCCTCCATCCCTGACTGCAACTCATGCGGTGCCAAGCTTAGACCCAGCTCAGCAGAGCGGGAGCTCACTGGGAGCTCGCGTAAGTCGCGAAAGTCATTTAAACAGCTATCTCTTCCCTAAGGCGCTGGAGCAACCGCTTCGGAGCAGTGATCGGCACGGCCTCGCCCCGTCGGTGCCTTGCGTGATTGGGGATGAGAGGAAGCGACGACACAGAACTACAGCTACGACGTAGCTGCGAGCACTTTTGCACGCAATGTCTAGCATGATCTCGGAGGATTTCAGGGTGCCAGAGCTATCCTCTCTTTCATGGCAACCCGGGTTGGAATGGAGGACAGCATATGACATGCACGCGCCTGGGCTCCAACCTGCGTGCTGACTGCATTCCAGACTCTGATAACCTTTGTAGCCGTCAGACTTGAAAATAGTATGACTATTCACATGATTTATTGTAGCTATTGTAGCTTGGTTGTGTTTGCAGCAATCATCTTCAGCAGATCGTGACAATCCCTTCAGGGTCGTTCCTCGGCCGCGTTTGTACTACACGTACGAGTGTCGCTGTGACACCAGCCGGTCTCATGGGATGCGGTGGCAGCTTGAGCTCTGCCCCAACCCCTGCTTGCAGCAAAACATCGCTGCCTTCCTACTGGCCGTGTCTGGGCTGCAGCGATCAGGATATCGTCATTCTTCTCTCAGATCCGCATAGTTACCACACTTGCAGAGAGATTGCACAAACGGAGCGACATGCACTTTGTGAGGCGGCCGCCGACTTTGAGCCGTGATGCCTCTTCCAGCCAACGGCTGGCCTTGCTGCTGAAAGAGAGGCCCACATGTTTCCGGCATTCCACAGCTGTTTCACGTCTTCCAAGGTTTTGATAAGGAATTCGGGCTTTGTTTGAACGGCGGAAGCCGTGCACAACTGCTTCCAGATGCAGGGTCGTAGGCAAGCTATGGCAAGCTTGTCTGCATTGGCCGAGCTAGCAAAGCAGGCGTTCTATCGGCTGACTCATGTTGACGAGATCGGGGTTAGTCTGTGCCGTCATAGCCCGTTCCAACCGTCTTCTGCTGCAGAGACCATTCCCAGGTAGGCCGATTGAGAGACAGCAGAGCTCCTGCCGCTCGCGAAGCGTGGTGCAGGCCCTTCCTGGAACAGCCCGACCACGCCCTCCACGCCTTCCTGCAGCGCTGCCAAGAGGCCCGTAGCAGGCACTGGCTCCCTTTGCCTGTCTTCCCGGACCATTGCTTCGAGGCCATCAAGCTAGGCGAGGCCGCAGAAAATGAGGACGGGGACAGGAGACTTCCCACCTTATCAAGTGTGAGTGCTGTGCCCCAGGAGGAAGCTCACGATGCTCTTGATCATCTTGATTTGCAATGGTATTGCGAAGAGCAAACGATAGCTGCAGCTTTTTCGCGCTTTGACAAGTGGCCCGGCAACACAATCAGCCGGTTTCTGCAGTCTAGCTCTGGACTCTGGACAACACTCTAGGTCCGGTCTAGAGTCTAGACACCTTTGTAAACCTGGTTCGGGGTTCCAGTTTCTAGAGCTTCTTTTTATCCGTGCAATGCCACGACCTTGCTGTGAAGCTGCCAGGAATGGTAATGGTGCTCTTCAAGGTGCTGAGCTGCTTGGAGACAGGTAAGATTGTGGCAGTGTCTTGCAAGTCCGACTGCAGATCCCGACGGAGGATTGAATACATGCTGGACTATCTGGGTTTCCCACATGGGGAAACGGAAGTCGGCAAGTTTATCGGCACGGTGGACAGAGATCCAGACGGGAAGACCGCGTTCGCGAGTGTGTCATGCATACAGAGACCATAGCACGCGAATAGGCAAACGTGCGAGCAGAGACAGACGCGCTTAGGTATACAGTAGCTACAAGCATATTTGTATACACACAGATGTGTGTCTATGTGTATATGTCCATATGAGCGGACTGCTGTCCTTGCTGCATGAGCCTCCGCAGGATCACCCACCACGAGTTTGTTCACTGCGTGGGCCGCTTCGGGGGCTGCACCAAGTTCCTGGAGCTCCGAAGGCAGCAGATCGCGGCCCGGGGCGCTGACCTCGAAGTCTCGGAAGAGATGCGCAAGGCCAGGCCAAGAAGCCCTTGACCAAGATGCCTTTAAATGTTGCGTCTATCTTTCGATCGATCGATATATCTAGCCATGTTCTTATCTCATCTTATCTCATCTTATCTTATCTTATCTTATCTTATCTTATCTTATCTTATCTCATCTTATCTCATCTCATCTCATCTCATCTCATCTCATCTCATCTCATCTCATCTCATCTCATCTCATCTCATCTTATCTTATCTTATCTCATCTTATCTTATCTTATCTTATCTGATCTTATCTGATCTTATCTTATCTTATCTTATCTTATCTGATATTATCTTATCTTATCTGATCTGATCTGATCTGATCTGATCTTATCTTATCTTATCTTATCTTATCTTATCTTATCTTATCTTATCTAATTACCTATACATGTATATATCTATGTATTGCAAAGTTACGTTGTCTACATATATATATATATATGTATGTGTGTGTATATATATATATATATATATATTTATATTTATACACACACCCACGTCCAAAAGGGGCACCGGGCAGAAGCAATAAGGGGCTCTGAATGGGATATCCCTACTTAGGCTTGACGTGTCCATGTGCTTGCGGGGGCTCCAGACTGCATTTCACAAGGGTAGAGGGCTGAGAGAAAAAGAAACGGCCGAATAATCGCCAATACTTTGTAGGGGTTCCTTACTACATTGGAATATGCTTCGAAGCAATATTCCAATTCTGAGACTCCTGTATTAGGGCAGCTAGGCCTCAAATTCAAGCTTCAGGAACAGGGTGTAGGTCTTACGCCCTGAATATTAAGTGTTGTTTTGAGGCTTGTGCTTGCGAAGGAGCTCGGACTCGTGCTGGAGTTATAGCTCTAAAATACACAAAGCTCTGCATCCTCATCACGGTAGAATCTGTCAGCGGCTGGTCCTCTGCGGGGTCCCTCTTGTTTGGCCAGTGTTATAGTACGGACCCCTAAATCCCTACAACATCCTACAACCCTATGTCAAATTCCCTAAAATGACCCACTTTTGAAGAAACCAGGCTGCAGCATTTGAGGGTCGCATCAGGGTTTAGAGGGTTTGACTCATATAAGGTCCTTGATAATTAGAATAGGGCTTGGGGGTATATTATACCTATGATTGTAATAAGGAGCCCACCAAAAGTGGGGTTCAGGCCCGTCCTTCGGGGCTCCATTGGGTTTAAGAGCCTATGGTCTAAGGCAGGGTGAAAGGGCAGCGTGACCGCCTTCCTCGAATTTGCCTATAAAGCCCCAACCAGTCCGGGATCTGATGGGGGTTTCGGATTTCGGATTTAATTTCGGAGCTTTATTAATTAGAATAGGGTTTGGGGGTATATATTGTACTAGAATTATAATCAGAAACCCTCAAAGCCTTATTCTAATTATTAAGGCCCCTACATTAGGGGTTTAGGGTTTACAGTCCCCAACTTCACAACCAGCTGCTCACAAACCGAGGTTTTCAGCAGGCAGCCCGGACCGGTAATTTGTCCACACATGTTTCTCGAGCAGCTATGTGTGGTTTTGATGGTTCAGGTCTGTTCGTATTTGTACACATATGTGCAGAAAGGTCCCTGGAAAGATATGTTTATGAATAGAGAGACCCCTAAACCCTTAACCCACCTAGAGGACCTAGACATTTGTCGGAGGTCACAAGCATCGGCAGCGGCACCAAGCGCATTCGGCACCTGGTCTTACATTGGACGGTGGCTACGGTTTAGCGTTTAGGGTTCAGGGTTTAGGGTATATAGGGGCCTGAATCATCATCACCAATACTATTCCTTAGGCTTCCCTTTGATAACGACAGCATTGCATGCGATATCCCAAAACCCTGTTCCAGTTGTTAAGGGCCTTATACTTCAATCAGGTTCTAACTAAGTTTGGGCTCCTTCTGAGGTTCCCGTGTTGACGCACACTTTGTGGCAAACCCTTAAGAAATTGAGTCAACCTTAGACCAGAGCATTCTCCCAGCAACAACCTGCTTGCTTGCAGGCTCCTGACAGACTCTGATAGGCCTGCGGCGTAGCATCCACATGCTGCTCCTAGACCCCTCAACTACCCTCTAATAGACCCTGAAGATCCACTATTAACGACCATAACCATAAGGGTTCTATCAAAGGGCACTTGGGGGGTCCTGGCTGGCCTCCGACCCTCAACGCTTGCAAGCTTTCTAAAGGCCCCAACCCTACAGCGCTGAGCTAAGGGTTTAGGGTTTAGGGTTTAGGGTTTAGGGTTTCAGAATCCCCGAAGAACCATTTTGTAAACATGCTCCCAGGTCAAAGTATACAGTGAACCCTGGCTACACGCCGGTGGCCGACTGCTTCTGCGTCCGATTCTCTCCCGACGACCAGCACAGCCGGTCACGCTTAGCTCAGATCTTCGACAGAAGGCTTTTGGGTTCAGGGGTTTAGGGTTCAGCGGTTCATGGTTTAGGGGTTTACGGCTTAATTGGGGCTTTAGGGTTTAAGTTAAGGGTTTAGGGGTTTAGGGTTCAGGGGGGGTAGGGGTCTCCTATTGTCTTAAGCCGCTACCCGGTCTGGGCATGGCTTGAAGTGTTTTTTTCTTCAGGTTTGCCCTCATAGTTTGCATTGTTACACGTCGTGTTCCCGTAGTTCAAGTCTTGTCAGGTAGCTACTGTTGGGATTAAGTTAAGACGGGGTAAGCGTTCACGGTCCAAGGTTTGGAATAGAGTTGGAACAAGGGTTTTTGAGGAGTGCCCACATGGGGAAGGGCATCAGGACAGTCGTGTGCCAATTTTTCTCCTGTAGGATTTAGGAGCACAGGGCTAAGTTGATGCCTGTCTTCAAAGAAGCCCTAAACCCTAAACCCTAAACCCTAAAACCCGAAGCCCCTAAACCCTAAACCCTAAACCCTAAAGGCCGAAATCCCTGAACGTGCTGGTCTCCTGGAGCCTCCTGCCAGTCTGCTGGTTTATGGTTTTGGGTATAGCGCCTTCATAGTTAGAATAGGGTTTCGGATATATTATACTGCAATTATAGTAAGGAAGGGTTTTGGGTATAGGCGTTTAATATAGGGGCCTTAGTAATTAGAATAGGGTTTGGGGTGTATTATACTGCAATTATAATAAGGAGCCCCCAAGATCCTTTTCTAATTAGAGTATTGGGTTTAGGGTTTAGGGTTTAGGGTTTCGGGTTTGGGGTCCCAAAACGGCATCAATGCTGGAAGGCAACTACTCGTCACGTGTAATGTAGGGGCCGTAATAATTAGAATAGGGTTTTGAGGGGGTCCTTATTATATTATAGTATAATATACCGTACCCCAAGACTCGATTCTAATTACTAAGGCCCTTATAGTATCTTCCCGAGCATCGCCAAGACAAAACGCAACGCGACTTCCTGGCCCTCATGGCGTGGTGCAGGTAGGGCTTAGGGTTTAGGGTTTGGGTTTAGGGTGCAGGTATGGTTCTTCACCCTTTCTTTGGGGGTCTCTGCTGGCATGCTTCATAATCCTTACACCCTGAAAATTTAAATGGGATTTGTTTACATGGAGTCTTGGCGATATTCGACCCTCTAGCTATACTTCTGTCATCATGTGATCAACGCTGCCGGCCATCCACTTGCATCGGATCCAGACGTAGACGCCCTGACCATCCTGACCTTGTCGCCGAGCGTGTTCTGGCAACAGCCCTGAGCCGCAGATCCACATATATGTATATATATATATACTTTATATAACATACTATAAGATAATTAGTATACTATAATAGAATATAATTTAATACAACATATATTAATATATAACTGAAATGTCCCAAACCCTTCGCATTGGCTCCGAGGGACTGGCTCGGGACGACCAGTCTTGCGCAACGCACGAGGCAACCTCGCCTGCATTGGCTGCACTCCCACGCACTGCAGGCATGGCAGGCCCCTGTGTGGCTACACGATCAAGGGCAATCCACTGCATGATGCGCACGCAGGGCAGGCATGCTCCCCCTGCAAGAAGGACGATGAGGATGGATTTCAGCACGCGCTGCATCGCAGAGGTTGGGGGCTTCGGGTTTAGGGTGCCCTTTTGGCCCCTCCAACCCAAAGCCCTCAAATATCCCCCGCCTGAGCAACCATGAACCGCCATAAACGGTTCTAAAGCCTATAAACCCTAAACCCTATACCCTAAACCCTAAACGGCCCTAAACCGCCAGGTACCTGGCAGCATCCTTTGCTAATGGTGCGATTCACGTCTACAGCGCAGAGACAGGCCTGCCAGGGGCTCCTCGTTAGCCAATAGTACAGTGTTCCTGGTATTCCTCGTCAAGGTTTTGCATTAAATGTATGTGTTTGTATAATATAAATATAGTTATATATATATATATATACACTTATTTATTTATACTTATGTGATACCCCCAAACGCTATTTAAAATGAAGGCCCCCATGTATGTGATTTTAGGGCCAGGGTTTAGAGTTGAACAAGGAATTGCGAAATTTAGAGTCTTCAGACGTGCAGAGGCGGCAGAGGTCGAAAGTGGGCCTTGCTTTAGGTTGCATGTTCGCGCAGAAAGGGTGCTCAGTGGTTAGAGCTTACGGCGTTTGAGGTTCGAGTGGTTGGAATCCGCACAAATTCTTGCACTGGCAAGTGAAGAGGAAGCCCGGATGATTAAGGCAGCTGTAGCATCCCTAGAAATTCAGAATTATGCCTGCGAAGTTTCTGCATATTGAGGCTGCAAGGCTGCTGAGCCTCAGGTCAATGCACGCCGCTTCGTTTGACATGGTTGCGGCCTGATTCTCGTTGCAACTGAAGTCGCATGGTAGTTGGATGAGTGGTAAACCAAAGCTCGGAGGCGTGACCTTAGACCCCAGCATCTAATGTGAAAGCCTGCAGAAGTGCGAATGTATCCGTTTTTCAAAGTTTAGAGTTCCTTCGTATCAATCTGCCAGAATCTACCCCCCCCAAACCCTAGTCTTATTAGGGTTTAGGGTTTAGGGTTATTGGCACGGCCCCTAAACTAAAGACTTCAGCGCTGAAGGCACTTTGTTCCTTC